GCGGGCGGGGAAAGGGGCCTCGCCGCGGGAGGACCCGCCTGGCGTCGGCAACATGGCAGCGTCCAGCCGGGCCGAGGTGCTGCGGCTGTACCGGGCCCTGCTGCGGGAGAGCCAGCGCTTCGGCGGCTACAACTACAGGTGCGCTCCCGGCCTGGGCGGGGACGGGCTCCGGGGCGGGCAGCGGCCCCGGCGCCGCTTCTCCCCGCGGGGGCGTGGGGGTAACGGGGAAGGGGAGGGAATGCCGGCGTTGCTTGGGGCTGGGCAGGGGCTGCGTGAGCGGCTCGTTTTTTGGCGGGCGCAGGGGATCCGTGACCTCCGGGGACCCCGCGGAGGAGGGAGCGGCCGCCCAGGCCGAGCTGTGGCTTGGCGGCGGGAGCGAGAGCGGGCCCGGCCGCGGCGGCCTGCCCGGGCCTGGGCCTGGGCCGGGGCCGGGGCCCGACTCGGGGCGCAGGGGAGGGTCAGCCCCCCAGTCCCTGTGCCGGGCTGCCTCAAAAGCAGCAAGTTATGGGCCCTCCTCCCTCTTGTAGGAGGAAAGAACAGGAGAGAGATTGTCCCAGCCTGAAAAATCTCGTGTCTGTTCTGGAGGCTGCCCTTCTTCTCCTGGCGGGGGAGAGCCGGGGACAGGTTGTGCCCTGGTTGTGCCGGAGGAGGTTGGCTTCCCTGCCAAACCCTGACACCATGTGCTGCGGCCAAGCTGAGGGTGCTGTGTGTGGTGAGGGAGCAGGGTTCACTCGTTCTGATGCACAGGGTGCCCTGCTGCCTGGCTGGCTGCCTTCTCTGGCTGTTGGTGAAAGACATGCACCGGTTTTTGGTAGATGGTATGTCTGCCTGCGTGCTATAGGCATAGGCCAGGTCTCCGTCGGATATCCCCTGCGTTCGCAGGGGGTGCTCCCCACCAACACTAGCAAAATTGTATTACTCACTGGTAGTTTATTCACTTTGCCACTCAGTTGGACCATGGGCAGAGACATGTGAGCTACCTGTGCTGTGAATCATCTCCAGCCTGGCAAGAATTGGGAACAGAAGCCTTTGAACTTGTATAAGCATGGTGAGCTTTGCACTCTTCAAGGCATAAGTATTCCCCAAACCTCATGTGTGAGGGAGTGCCTTGAGAAGAAAGGCTGTGGGGCTGAAACTGAGTTGGAGCTAATAAACCTTCATTGCTAACTCCACGCAGCAGCATGTATGTGCATCATGTTCCCGTCCTCTTTCTTTAGTTCCCCTGCTATCAAGGCTTCCCCCTGCTCTTCACTGTCCTGAGTATCCCAGCTTGCCGTTATTCTGGCTAACAAAGAGAAGATTGTATGTAATGGGGATGGCTTGAGGCTCGTGAGATATGCAGCTGGTGAACAGTTGAATGTAACTCCCATCTGGGCCATGGCATGTTTTCAGCAATGGGTTTGTGCTGGGGGGTGATCAGTGAGGAAGCTGAGTCCACAGCAGTGGGAGGAAGCAAGCCAGTGCCACCTCACAGTGGTGGCTTCAATAATTGGTGTCACCAGCCTCCTGGACCACATGTGGACCCCCCTCTGCCTGGCCCCTTGCTGGTAGAGCACAGGGAACCTGAGAAATTGTTGTCATCTCTTCTCTATAACCCATACCCAGAGCCCAGCCCCCCTCCCCAGGTACCTGCAAAATTAGGTATGTACCTGGGGGGTCTTGGCTGTGTGGAAATTTTGGCGTGCAGCTCAAAGGCAAGGCCAACTATCACAGAACGATAGGTGCACCAATGAGTTTCTGCTTAACACAATGTAAAACTTTTCATTCTGTTTCTTTTAACATTTTTATACTAGCAAATTCTAAAGGATAGAAATCATAAGATATGTGTTTGCCTTGGATATCTGATTTTTTGACACTATATCACGGTGCAAGTTTTCCCTTTCCTTAAAGAAATTATCTCAGTTTTTGATGGGCTTGACCTTAGATACTATAAAATCAGCAACTGTATAAAATCTTGCAGCATATACACACATTTGTGAGCACTAAAAGCAATAGCAGTTTCTAGCAAGAAACCATCAGCAGCTATTATATATAGAGATCTGCTGGGACCACAACAACAATTCTGCCTTGGTGTTTATGCCACACCCATAGCTAAAATGGATACCCTGCTAGCTTCTTCTGTGCCAAGATAAGCAGTCCCGCCATGTCCTCAGGGCTGCTGTAATGTGATATGGTAATACCCTGGGGTAAACCTAATGACTTTGTAAAGAACCAACTTATAGCGAAGTAGAAAGTATTAAGGATTAATCTTACTGGTTCATGATTTCAGTTAGAGAATTTCAGAATATTTCTTTATTGCAAACAGTGCATATTTGTAAGTGTACGTCTGGAGTGTGATCAGCTGGTTACTGTCTCCTTATTTGCTTGCTGTACTTTTTCTCTTAAATGTGTACATATAGATTGTGATATAAAATTCAGTATTTTTGTTTTGTGAATTTCCTAGTAAATATACTCTATATGTTATCTGGTAGTACTGAATTTTCTTCTACCACCCAAAAGAACTGTTAGTGCCATAACTGTGAAGTTCATGTCTTAAAGTAACTGAGGTCACCGCTGATAGCCTTCAGAGTAACAACACACAGGAGCATCTCCAGAGTCCTGCAGTAAATGTTATGGAGTGTTTGGAGGCCCAGATGTGTAGGCCAGGTTTTAACAGCAGGGAGAGAGAGTTTAGTAGACTGTAAGTAATTTCATGTCTGCCCTTCTGCCCTATTACCCATGCAGACAGTCTGAGGAAGGACAAGCGATTTGTACTGGAGGGAGATAAATATGCAAAGAGGGAAGATGTTAGGCTTTGAGTCAAAAAGGTGGTTCTTAATGTGCATACTGTTTTTTGTCTGCTTGGTTGACAAAAAGTAGATCCTCTGACAGTTTATAACGTGTTGGATTACAGTCTCAACTGAATTGATATAAGGGATAGTTTCTAAATAGAATTTCATTTGTGATTTAAATAATGGCTTTATGTTGTGTTTCTTTTTTGGTACAGAAAGCAAAAGAATTTATAAACTTGTGAAAGCTGTTGAAACACATCTTGTTGCAAATGAAGGGTAATCTGAACTTCAAAGTTTCTTGTTTGTTTAACGTAACTGAAGCTCAGTGGTCAAAATGCACAGGAATCTAGTGGAAGAGGGTTTTCTCTAGAAGGGTAGCACAGGGCTGGAGCAGGTCTCCCCAAGAGATTTTTAACATCTCCATTTTTGAAGGTTTTTGTGACAGGTTTAACTGAACAGCACCATGGCTGACCTGATCTTGTTGTGGGTAGGCCTACTTCAAGTGGGAGGTTGGCTTGGATAAGTTCCAGAGATTCTAGCTAACCAACATTACTATGATTTTTCAGGTCCCAGGCCTTCCTTGGCCTATAAAGATACTAACACTGGCTACTAAGCTCTGGGAAACATCATATGACATGCTTCTGGCTGGTCTCCTTTCCAATTCTTTAATTTCTTGTAGTTATGAGCAATGTCAGAAGCTTTAAGTCTCTCGGTCGGAATTTTTCTGCAAATAATTTCTTTATGTTTTTTTAAAGTATTTCTTGATTTATTGTACACTTATTTCAGTTATACGTTATGTTCTCTGTTAACTGGTGAATGTTGCAGTTTTATTTATAGATATATTTTTTCTTGTCTGTGTAAATCGCATTTTTATGGAATTTGATTAGAATGTGCAATATTATTTGATTAATTAATAAAACTACCCAGACTATAGAAGAATCAAGGAAGGAAATTTGTCAAAACAGGTTTTGCATTGGAAACAAGTTAAGTGAATGCATTCAGTTTCATCTGAGACTTGTCCTTCAAGATTTTAAAACTAGTAAATCTGATTTTTTCAAATCTCTGCTAACCTAAGAACAAAACCGAGCAAAATAAGTTATACTGTTTTTTTCAGTGCCAATTGTTTTTCCTGCTTTGAACAACATAGTTGTTGATCTGATTTTAGGGAGACATAGAATGTAGAACCATAGAACAGCCCAGGTTGGAAGGGATGTCCAAAGATCATCATCAAAGGCAACCTTTCATGGGAAAGGGAGCCTAGGTGAGATTATCTAGCACCTTGTCCAGTTGCATCTTGAAAACCTCCAGTGACTGGGACTCTGCCACGTCCTTGGGGAGGTTGTTCCAGTGATTGATTGTTCTCACTGTAAAAAATTTCTTTCTTACGTCCAGATGAAATCTCTCCCAGTGCAACTTGGACCCATTGCACCTTGTCCTTTCTGTGTGGCTCCTTGTGAAGAGAGAGCCTCCATTAAGTACTGGAAAGCTGTGATGAGATCCCCCCTGAGCCTCCTCTTCTCCAGGCAGAAGACACCTAACTCATTCAGTCTTGCCTCATAGGGCAGGTTCTCCAGCCTTTCCATCATCTTTGTGGCCCTCCTTTGGACTTCTTCAGTCTGTCCACATCTTTCTTGAATCATGGGAACCAGAACTGGTCACTCCAGGTGCAGCCTGACAGGCACTGAGTAGAGTGGGATGATCATGTCTGTCACTGCTAGTAATGCCCCTGCGGATGCAGCCCAGGATCTGATTTGCCTTCATTGCTGCAGTGGCACACTGCTGACTTGTGTTCAGCTTGTTGTCCACCAGGACCCCCAGGTCTCTTTTGGCAAGGCTGCTCCCCAGCCACACAGATCCTACCTGTGCTGGGCTCTTTGTTTATGTCCTCCCAGGTACAGGACCTTGCACTTGTCTTTGTTAAACTTCATACAGACTGTGATTTCATCTTTCTCTGAAAGATTATATCAACATGTAGAAAATCTTTATTTTGAGAATCTCAAGGTGCTTATGATAAATGTGGGGGGTTTGTTTTGAATGAAAGTTTAGGAGTAAAAATTCAGGGATTCCACTATATAGGGCAGAGCATGTTCTTAAGGTGTGTTTAGTCTTTTGGCAGGAAAGCTGTTTTTCTGGAGTGGGGACTTTCTCAAAAGACTGATTAATGGACTTTGTTATTTTAGCAAAGGCATCCAAATTGAGTAAATCTGATGTCGTCATTATCCAAGACATTATTTGTGTTCTTTGCATAGCACAATAGAACAGGGATATTTTTCTTTTTATATAAGACTTAATTACCAGTAGAATTTGAGAACTAATTAGGGTAATAGAAAAATTACTGCCTCTGGCAGTGATTCATACCAATAGACA